TATAAATAGATAAGCTAAAAAATTAGTTTGAACCACAGTCATGGCTTAAAAATTGATAATATGGTAGAAATCAGTTCTCTATTTTAACTGCTGGGAATTCCATAAGAAAGTGTTTCTGGCCTATGAGTCAAAATTGCTACCTAAGTAGTAAAGGCATTCTAAGCTATAGGGTTCAGTTCAAGGAAATTTAGCAATCAATATTATACATATCAGTGGGCAGTTCTTTTCAAATGTCATGTAATACATTATCAAACATTTTGAAGTTATGGGAAAAGCAATGGAAAACAATGTATATTTATTATATTATAGCATTTACATTGCAGAAGTATGAACACAGTTTAGTTGGTTGCTTTGGGTCTCATAAGTTTGTAATCAGTGTCTGCAGGGTGCTGTTTTCATCTGAAGGCCCAGCTAAGAAAGACTGATTTCCAAACTCCCTCCAGAAGAATTAATTTATTTATGGTTGTAGGATTCATGTAAATTTGCTTCTATAAGTCCAGATACATAGAGAGGAAGAGAGAAGAAAAAAAGAGAAAAGTGGTGAAGAGGAAAGGAGAATTAAGGAGAATAGAAAAGAGGAAATATCTAGCAAGATAGGTCATATATATACACACACACACACACACATATATATATATATATGTAAAATCACGTACAACCCATTGTCTGTACTGTGCTTCACAGACTCTAAGATACAGATTCCACCAATGCTCAATGGAAGAGATTTAAGAAGATCATAGCCATCAGGACTCAGACATAGTGATGGCCCATTGAAGTCTGTTAGGATTGTTGCGCTATTTGTTATATTAATATTGTGGAAATTAAGCCCACAAAAATTTTAAAATATGAAACTCTACAGACACTTCTATTCTGGACATCCATGCAAGGAAACGATGACATGATGCAGTCACATATTTTCATATCCATTTCACCCCAAAATGTACTTCTATGTCTCACCTTCACTGTATCACTGTACCACTGTCATGCTGTTGTTCGTGGATTTGTTAGAGTGGGTACCAGTAACATCTCCATTCGTTCCTGTCACATGCTAGTGTAGCCCGATGGCATATTGAGGGCTCTTTCAGAGTCAGGATAATGAGGACCGTCATTGTTACTGTTTTTGGAATATTGAATATGATACGGGTAGCTTTCCAGGCTCTGCCGTAATGTCTCACCTTACTGCATTAAAATTTTGGTGGCATCAGATACAACATAATCACTGTGAGGAATGTTAACATCTTTCTCATTGTGATATCATTTCATTTTACAGCATTAATTCATTTAACAAGTAATTTTATTGAAATTTAGCTATCCTGATACTAAGTTATTATTAAAATTGATTTCTGAAAATTCTGTTTATATTTATTCACTGTGGAAAATGCAGAAATGTATACAGTTTTTAAGTAACAGTCAGAGAGGTATGATGAAGCTTGGGTGATAAGTGACATTTTTACTTGGGTAAGTGACATTAATTTGTCACAAGTTCATTTGAATAAGACATTTGCTGCATGCATAGGTGGTGTTGTTTTAAGAATCACCTCAGAGAATAAACCTTTAAATGTCTTGTATGAGTTTAATATACACTGGAGACTAAAAGAAAACCTGGAGGTATGGGGTGGAGAGGAGGGAAATGGAATCATTATTAGGCTGTTGATACTGATAATTTTTAAAATAGTTGTCTAGGTAGTCTGGAATTTTTTCCTACTTTTTTTCTCATGTATCTTTTATTTTTAGTTTTTCCACCCAGTTATTTGAAGAACATCACAATAGAGTATTTTCCCCCCTCAAATATTTCCAGTGATATCTCAAATAAGAAATATTTAATTTTATTTTTTTATAATTAAATTTTTTTTTATTAGTGAATCACTGTGAGGTAGAGTTACGTACTTAGAAACTTTCGTGTTTATGTTTCAGTCATACAATGATCAAGTACCCATACCTCCACCAGTGCACATTCTCCACCACCAATGATAACAGAGTCCCTTCCCCCAACCCACCTCCCAACCTGCCTCTGTGGCAGGGCATTCCCTTTTGTTCTCGCTCTCCTTTTGGGTGTTGTAGTTTGCAATAGATGTATTGAGTGACCATCCTGTTCAACCTATAGTCTACTTTTGGCATGCATCTCCCAACCCAAGGGGGTCCTCCCAACACCCTTTACTTGGTGTTCCCTTCTCTATCTGAGCTGCCTTTCCCCCCAGCATGTGAGGCTGGCTTTGAAGCCATGGGGTAAATCTCCTGGACCTTCAGATAAGAAATATTTTAGAGCCAGAGAGAATGCTCAGGGTTAAGATGTTTGCTTTGTATGTAAAAGACCCTGTTTTTAATCTGAGCATTGCCAGGAGTCTTTCCTGAACAGAGAGTTAGGTAGAAACACAAAGCACCAATGGAAATGGCCCTAATTATCCTCCCCCTCAAAAAAGAAAAAAAAATTTAAAAATTGCATATGTGCAATAAGACATTTCTTTTTGGGTTAGAAGGTGATAAAATAAGTGAGAATTCTAGTGACTATTCATGAGCCTTATGGGGTACCGAGTATAGTATTTTTGTAACTAAGCCAGTCATATTTACAGTGTATTCCATGATGGACTAATCAATTGTGATGAATACTATTATAGTTGTCACTGTCACTGTCCTCCCGTTGTTCATCAATTTACTTGAGTGGGCCCAGTAATGTCTCCATTGTGAGACTTTGTTGTTACTGTGTTTGGCATATCGAATACGTCTCGGGTAGCTTGCCAGGATTTGCCGTGCGGACGAGATACTCTCAGTAGCTTGCCGGGCTCTCCGAGAGGGGTGGAGGAATTGAACCTGGCTTGGCCGGGCTGGCTGCATGCAAGGCAAACGCCCAGCCCACTATTACAGGTAATCTTAATAAATATTATTTATTAGTGTTAATTATACACAGCAGAATCTTTATTCAGTATCTTGTTTCTTTTCTTTATTTTTTATAGGAGTACTGCTATTTATTCAGTCACTGATTAGGCTGATTGAATTGGGAATGAACTCCACCTTACTATTTTTTTTTTATAATTTTATTTATTTATTTATTTATTTATTGAATCACCGTGAGAGCAGTTACAAAGCTTTTGGGTCTAAGTCTCAGTCATACAATGAAACACCCGTAACCTTCACCAGTGCCCATTCTCCACCACCAAAACCCCCAGTATACCCCCATCCCATACCCTCTCCCTACCTGTGGGGCAGATGACCTCCACATTACTCTCTCTCTACTTTGATCACATTCAATATTTTGACACCAGACCCACCATTATTATTTGGGATTTTACCCCAACACTCAGATCTGCTGAAAAGGCAACAGTAGGCAATTTGTTTTCTATTGCTGGTTATGAATAACACATAATGTCGTGCAGCTGCAGTAGTGGCTGCGTGATTTTGAAATTCCGAAATTTTAACAATTAAATCTGGAGGGATTTCTGCCAAACCTGCGGGGTTCTGAGATTTGTTCCTGAGTCTCTGGGAACATGGCCATTAAGCAGCTTGATCAGGAGCCAGAGAGGCCGTTCGTGGGTGGCGACTTGGGGTCTTGGGTCTTGTTGGGATGGGGAAGAAAGGGTTGACTCCACCCCCATCCCATGAGGCCCCACATGTCTTGTCACTGAGGGCCCAAACCTGACTGACCAATGGCCTCTGGTGGATGGCAGCCACTGAGTCACCAGGGGGAACAGGCCAAGGCACAAAACCTGTTCCCACATGGGGTGGCCCCGCGATAGTAACCTACTGTGGGGTTGAGACGCATTTCTGCCAAAAGCCGCTGGGTTCTGAGATTTGTTTCTGAGACTCTGGGATCATGGCTGTTAAGCAGTCTGATCAGGAACAGAAAGGCCATGCATCAATTATATAGCTGAGCTGGAGGTGGTTTGTGGGTGTGTCTCCCACATACCTAACTTTTGGCCGTTTACTTTCTTGGTAAACTTTACCTCAATGGTAAACTTTACCTCAAGTTTTTGGGGTCTGGTCAAAGGCACAGCAGCAATTTTGGGGTATCTGGAAGTCTGAAGGCACCAACAGGCTGCTGATGCACTCGCCTCACAGGTACAGATTGACCTATTGGCGGCACCATACCCCCCTCTCATTTCTTTTAAATAATGGTAGCAATATTATCAAGACTGTATTATAATGTCCTGATTTGGGGGTAAAAACACAAGTTCCGAGTATTAAGTAATTCACCAAGATTATAAATGGAGAGAATGACAAAAGGAAAGATTTGAAACAAGTGCAATAAATCTTCAAAGTGCTCTCGATAGCTATGTCACTCTGCCATTGTATGATAAAATACTCCTAAATTCTAAAATTATTCATTGCATCCAGAGTGATAGCACAGCGGGTAGGGCGTTTTCCTTGCACGCAGCCAACATGGCCGACCTGAGTTCGATTCCTCCGCCCCTCTCGGAGAGCCCAGCAAGCTACCCAGAGTATTCGATATGCCAGACACAGTAACAACAAAGTCTCCAATGGAGACGTTACTGGGCCCGCTCGAGCAAATCGATGATCAACGGGAGGGCCTTTACTTTACATCATAGATGGAGATTCATACATGATTAACTTTCAAATATTAAATCAATTGCTCATAAAAACAGCTAAAATTAAAAGGGAGATATGAGACTTATGAAAGTTGTGTAGATAGTCTTCTAGAGTGAAATAGATAATCCAATATGAATACTGACACAATCTAGTCTAAATGCACTCTCTTCCTCAAATTTTTTGTGTACTACCATTTAGAATTTCAGTATTATTATCCAAAAAGTGTACAGAAATACCTCTCCTCTAATGCTCAAGAGAAATACAGCTTTTCCTTTCATAAATTAGTGAAATATCCTGAAACACAATCAGAAGCACCACTTTCCCCACCTACCACAGATATAGCTGTAGGATTTGCGTCAGCCAACTTCCCAATATGAAGCAAAGCCCCACCTTCCTCCTACCCTGCTTGAGTCATTCTTCCATTTGATAGCAGTAGCTATTTAGACTCTCCAGCAAGAGCTCACATATTCTGGCTTTGTAGAAGTCAGTGACTGCTTCACTATCTCAAGTTGGAACAAATTTTGAAATGACCTTTGATGACCTCAACAGTAAGACTATGAAGAATCAGCCTGATCAGGAATCACATGAAGAAAAAGCTAAAGGTAATAGGAGTGGGTCCTTATATGTAAAAATAGAGTCTCCTCATTAGCCTAAAATTATAATTTAACAATGTAGAACTAGGAAGCCTAACACCTGAGCATGGGAAATATGGAATTAATAGCAGTTACTTAAAGGTAGGGTGTTTGCCTTGCGTGCAGTCAGCCTGGCTGAGCCGGGTTGGATTTCTCTGCTCCTCTTGGAGAGCCCAGCAAGCTACCAAGAGTATCTTCCCCTCATGGCAAAGCCTGGCAAGCTACCTGTGATGTATTCAATATGCCAAACACAGTAACCACAAGTCTCAAAATGGAGACATTACTGGGACTGCTCGAGCAAATCAATGAACAATGGGAGGACAGTGACAGTGACAATGACTTAAAGAAAAACAAGCCATAATGGAAATGATAGTGAATGAATGAACTTGTCATGAGTGATGATGTAGAAGACAAGGGTAATAATTTTTTATTAAATATTATATATAGTCCATGTTTTATGATATTCACTTTATATGCATTATATCTTAGGGTCTTTGCACATTACAATATGGAATACTATTATTTCTGTTTTATAGAAGAATTGCTAAGAATCAGGAAAATCATTACCCAGTTTTATGAGGCTAATAAATCCCAGTTGTAGAATTGTATCCCAGGGCCCCATTTATCTGGAATCCAATCAGAAAGCTCAAGAAACAGTGAGTTCACCCAATGAATATAATGATAATTTTTGTAATAATGTGATTGAGGCATTATAAAAACTTGATATATCTTAAGAATATATAAGATATTATGCAATATGATACAAGTTATATTTTATTATTGCATTATGATATGGTATGTGACTGCTTTATAAATTTCAACTCCTGCTTATTATATATGTTAAACTTAAGTATAAACTAATCTATAATCTCAGCTCCACAAGCAACCTGAATATATTGCCTTTTATTTTATATCTAATAAGTGATATAGTACAGCAGGTAGGGCGTCTGCCTTGCACGCAGCCAACATGGCTGACCCGAGTTCGATTCCTCCGCCCCTCTCGGAGAGCCCGGCAAGCTACCGAGAGTATTCGATATGCCAGACACAGTAACACCAAAGTCTCCAATGAAGACGTTACTGGGCCCGCTCGAGAAAATCGATGATCAACGGGAGGGCCTTTACTTTTTTTTACCTTATTTTATATTTATTTTGATAGAAAGAAATAAAATATAAGGGGAGGAAGATGTACAAGTTTTTTGAGCAGTTTAGAAAAAGAATTACCAGTTCATGTTTTCAAAGTTGGTGATATAATATAGAAATTTTTTTCTACAGGGAAAATAAATATGAGCATAGATAATTTGACATTTGAACTGATGAACTCAGTTGATATGAAAACAGCATGGGCATATATAGACTGACCTTAAAGTTAATAGTTATTAAGTAATTTAGTCATTCATCACGTAAGAGATAAAAATGTATCAGATTATTTAATTCTATTATGGAATTAATCTCCTCAGATCCTGATAATATCAGCTACCTACTGAAAAATATACAAATAGTCTTTGTTGTGAAAATCACCAACAGGATTGAAGGTTGGATTCTGACTTGAAGGTTGGATCCTGTCAGCTGCTGGCTACCGAGGAAATGAGACAAAGGGTGGACTATTGTCAATTGTGATTTTTATCCTAAATGTTCAGGCATTTTGCTACTAAAGAGTGTAGGACATATTTAACCTATAATTTGGAATGAATTCTAACTACAGGGAAGCACTGGCTAAAAGGTTGGCACAAATATTTAGTGAGGAGGCTATGATTATGCAATTACTTGCAAAAGACATAACTCCTCTCCTTCTTTGACTGTTTGCCAAATGCATTCCAGGAGCTGAATCACTATTGAATATATGTGAATGAAAGATATTTCTTTCTGTCAAAATTCATACTTTGTTTATATGTGGGGTCTGACAGTGGTTTTGGCATGAAAGTCTGTGCATTTGACCTCTGATTGATTTGAGTCATTCCCCATGAAAGTTTTGTGATGCAATGTTTCAGGTCCTGAGGCTACTGACAACTAGACTCCAGATCTTTCAGACTAAAGAAACTGTTTGGATCTTAGCATGTTTGTCTGAGCTTTCAGTTTTCTAATTTGTCTTAGGAATATTCCTTATTAATCCATAGAGGACAACGAAATTAGCACATAAGATTAGCACTGTAGCACTGTAGTGCTATCCTCCATTGCTCATCAATTTGCTGGAGCGGGCACCAGTAATGTCTCCATTGTGAGACTTGTTGTTACTTGTTGTTCTTGGTATATCAAATACGCCACGGGGAGCTTGTCAGGCTCAGCCTTGTGGGCAGGATACTCTCGGTAGCTTGCCTGGCTCTCTGAGAGGGATGGAGGAATTGAACCCGGGTCAGCCATGTGCAAGGCAAATGCCCTATTTGCTGTGCTATCGCTTCAGCCATAAGATTAGCAACCTGAATATATTACATGTTTTTTGCTGAACCAGTATATATATATGTATATATATATATATATTTATATATAGCACAGTGGTAGGGCGTTCGCCTTACAAGCGGTCAACATGGCCGATCCGAGTTCGATTCCTCCGCCCCTCTCGGAGAGCCCGGCAAGCTACCGAGAGTATTCGATATGCCAGACACAGTAACAACAAAAAGTCTCCAATGGAGATGTTACTGGGCCCGCTCGAGCAAATTGACGATCAACGGGAGGGCCTTTACCTTTTACCTTACCTTATATATATATATGCTTTCTGGTTATGGAATATATAGATATATTTTCATATACCTATATGTTATATTACTTGATTTATTGCAGCAATAGGACCCTGGATGGTATGTAACATGATGTTAATATTATCCAAATGAAATTGAGTATCCACTCCTGTTTTTATTTCATCAATAAGCTCAGATCCAAAATAAAATTTTAATATAAAAATGACATAGCTCAATATCACATTGTAATTATTTGGGACACTCTAAACTGATTGTCCTGTTCATGTTTTATTTGCTTGATGTCTGACAATCATTCATGGCATGTTAATAAAATATATTGTGTTATGCATACATATCCATATCATAGTTAATATTACAAATCATCAAGCCCTCTACCCTGTGATGAATTTAATGATACTAAGTAGGGCAGAGAATTTCTTAAAGACCCTTTGTGGGCTTAATAGACAAATAATAGATTTAGAACCAGCTACTTCTTTCAGTGTAGAGTCAAGATTAAGCCCTGGATGTTAATGTCTGGGCGTGCCCACTCCCATCCCCTCCCCCCAAATCCAAAAATATAGAATCAATTACTTAAGAGTCAAATATCTTGTATTGAATCCTGGCTCTAAAATTATATTAGTCATATGACCTTGAGTAAGTTACTTGAGTTCTTCAGCTGTCTGCACTTTTCATCTATAAATATGAATATAAAGTATCTGCAGAGTCAATGGAAGCAGTAAGAAGGGCAAAAACACTAATCTTGTACAGGAGTCAAAGCATTGTTTAATCATATCCCTGCATCTTTTTGTCCTCAAGATTCTCTCTTCTGTCCCTCTAGGTCTCCATTTTCATTCTCCTGGGAGGTGTTATGCTGCTACAGTGACTCTAGGGATCGTTGGCCTGGGATTACTTGTCACAATTCTAATTCTGGTAGTGCAATGTAAGTGACAAAGCAGTGAGATAATGTGGTTGAATCAGAATTTATGAACACGGTTTAAAAATTGATTGAATAAAAAGTACAAGCATCTTTTATTAGGCAAACTGCTTCTTCCCTTCTGTTCTGTTCTCTTTCCTTCCCTTCTCCTTTCTATCTCCATTCCAGTTTCCTACCTCTGTTCCTTCTTTCTTCCTCCTTTCAAATTCCAGGCAGTTCTTAGGGGTCAGGGAACATTTATGGAACTTCTTGGCCAATTTAGCTTGTGATGCTTCAATGCAAGGGCCAGACTATGTAAAGCTGAGCAGCAGGTAATGAGGTGCTGCTTGTTTCCTGTAGTGTGTGTGTGGGGGAGCACCAGGGCCATACTGGGCTTTATTCTGCCCTAGAATTGCACCCAGTATGATGTTGTTGAAGACTATGTGGTTCTGGGAATCCAAGAGTATGCAAGACATGCTCTCTACCTCCTGAGCTATCTTTGTCCCAGACAAACTGCCTCTTGGATGAGAAGATGAACCGGTGTATTGTACTCATCCTTCAGATTGACACATAGAATAAGATTACAAAATAGGGGTTTGGTTTAATTTTCACATATTAATCGATCTAGACTACTTAAGTCTTAATTACAAAAAAGAAGAAAAAACTCAATGTTATTAATTTACATGATCACCTTAGAGAGTCCCCAAATAAAATCATTTGGTGATCATGGGTTTTAATAAATATGGTCAAACACCAATTTACTGTGAAGAACTGAAAATGCAGTGAATAAATATAACACGATAGTCAATAAAAAAGCAAAAAGTATGATTAAACATTTACATAACATACTTCAAACTTATAGCATGGTTATTTTGAAAGAGGAGATGTTGAGAGAAAAATAAGTGAGAAGGATAAATGATGAGAAGAAAATAGGGCAAAACTCTCATCAAATTCACATGTATTTTCTACAGGTTGTAGAATAAGTTATGATGTCTGTTTAAAACCCAGATTAGTAATGCTTTTGAAATGCTCTTTTTTCATGTAAGGCAGAAATTATTTTTACCCAATCTATAAATACTCAGAACCTTTCCTAATTGGTAGAAATGGCCTCAACTCAGTGGGTGAGACAAAAGAGACTTCCTGAGAGCCTGCCTGCCCCAGAGTGATAGCCACCTTTCAATTCATATCTGTCTATCTGTCTGTCTATCTATCTATCTATCTATCTATCTATCTATCTATCTATCTATCTTCTTTTTTGGACCACACCCAGTAATGTGCAGGGGTTACTCCTGGCTCTGCAGTCAGGAATTAGTTCTGGATGTATCCAGGGACCATGTGGAATGCTGGGTATTGAACCCAGGTCAGCCACATGCAAGTTAAGACACCCTACCCGCTGTACTATTGCTCCAGCCCCTAGAACAGATATTTGACCGTCAGAACTAGTTGCTGGCTGATTTCACAACCTTCCTTTTGACTCCACCCTTCCTAAAATGTGGTATATTCAGGGAAAAGAAAAAATAAACCTTGAGACTCTTTTGACACAGCAACTTACAACAATTCAGTGGGAGAGTGTCTCAAAAAGTGAGTTCTTAGAGCTATGAAGTCTGGGTGGGTAAAGACAGCTGAAGAATGATGTAAAAGGGTAAACCATTAATGAAGTTTCAGCTAGTGATCAGTGAGTCTGGTTCTGTCTACTTTAGATTGTCTATATTAATTTGATACACAATCTATTCTGTGACTTTTTAAAACATATGTGTAGCTCTCAGGAACAAAATTCTGCTTTTAATCAGAAGTATAGGTAACTCTCTCATTCGGAAATTTGTAGGAAAATCAACTTTTAAACCTAGAATTTCTTGGTCAATCTGGGTCACATTTTCTGTCAAAATATATTTTGAATTAAATTCTTTGGATTTCCTAAAAATGCAATGGAGGGGGCCAGAGTGATAGTACAGCGGGTAGGGCATTTGCCTTGCATGCGGCTCCTGTGTTCAATCCCCGGCACCCCATATGGTCCCCCAAGCGCTGCCAGGAATAATTCCTGAGTGCAGAGCCAGGAGTAACCCCTGAGCATTGCTGTATGTGACCCCCAAAGCAAAAAAAAATGCATTGAAGGGTTTTTATTGGACACGTGGCGTGGAGTTTTAATTCAGCTGTATTTTAGTATACCAGGTGTCTGATCTCCTAAAGCAACAGCAAGCAAACCTTACTTGCCAGGAAAATATGTCGGAGGGACAATTTTTAGCCCAAAAGGGAGCAGAAAAATCTTCCCAAGAATCACAAATGGAACTCAAAGAAATGATAGAAACTCTTTCACAGAAGCTGGATGAGAAATCAAAAAAACTAATGAACTTGCATCAACAGAACCTGAATCTACAAGAAGCTTTGAAGAAAGCAGCAAACTATTCAGGTATGTGGTGGTGGTGATGGTGGGGGTGGGGTGATGGAGAGAATCAAGAAAAATAGTGGAGACACCTCTGCTTAATCTTAATCTTTCTATTGGAAATGTCTCTAGGCATAAAATTGATCTTTTGAGACATGAATCATTAGTCATCCTTAACTCTCTAAAAAGCATGCAAGAATTTACTTTCTGTTATCTTTACCAGACCCTATGTCAAATTCTTCAGATATCAGATTTAATTGGTGTTTAGTACCATGAAACATGAATTTAATCTTTTTAAGGAAGGAAATTTCCAGGAAATTGAAAAAAATACACACTCTCCCAAAGGGCTTAATTGGGTGGAGGCTAGTGAAAAAAACAAACAGGAATATTTGCAATGTAAGCAAGCATGGCTACATATAATCTAGTATTATTTCTTTTTTTTGCTTTTTGGGTCACACCCAGCGATGCACAGGGGTTATTCCTGGCTCATGCACTCAGGAGTTACTCCTGGCGGTGCTCGGGAGACCATATGGGATGCTGGGAATCGAACCAGGGTCAGCTGCGTGCAAGGCAAACACCCTACCCACTGTGCTATCGCTCCAGCCTCTCTAGTATTATTTCTGAGGTGGAACCATAAAATTGCTTGTCCTTATGAGCTGTAGTGGATGAAAACAACATCAGAACATTGAGAAAAGAAGTATCTCTCAGAGATTCAGACATAGAGAACTAATTGGAGAGATAATGGGGTGGGAAACGTGTTTGCCTTGCAAGCAGTTAACCAGGGTTCCATTCCTGAGCCCAGCCAGGGGTATTCCTGAATACAGAACCTGGAATAAGTCCTGTGTATTGCCATGTGTGACCCAGAAGCAAACAAACAAACAAAAATGCAATTCCTTTTTCTAGACCTCAGGCCAGGTATTCTGTCTATCACATATATAGTAGGGATCATTGGTAGGGATTGCAGAGAGAGCTCTAATTGTTAAACAGCTTTGGGAAGTTTCTAAAAGATATCACTATAGAGTGCCACAAGGAATTGTCAATGTTATCAGGATTGGGGTCAATTTTATCTTTCTTCCTAACAGTCTGTTTCTGGAAGAGACTCAATGTTTCTATATAGGTTTTGTCTGAAGTTGTCTCGATGGAAACAATCTTACAGTAACACATTTCACACTTTAATTCAGATTCTGTAGTGTTTTTCAAACTTCAGTTTTCAAAATTATCAGCAAATAGCTTGCTAGAAATGGTAGGGTCAAACTGAGATAACGTAGCAAAAATATTTTGAGTGGAGCCAAGAAACATTTCCTCAATTGATTACAATGCAGAAGTTTGAGAAATAGTGTGATAGTGACAGGACACTCAGATGCCAGAATTACACTCCCTAAGTTCAGATCTCCACTTCCCCCTATCAAATAAACAAACAGATCCTATTTCATAAGGTTTTTATGAAGATTAAACGAGTTAAAACATGTGAAGTATTGCAGTTTGGGGCATGTAGTAATATTTGTGTTTTACAAGAAGTAAATTAAAGCAAATAATTTGAGATCTGATTACTGTCTAGTATGGGACACCTGCCTAGATTAGCTTTCAGTCGCAAAAAAATCAATATACATTTTGAAACTTACCATATGGACTTGGTAATTTAAGAGAAGCTGCATTTATTGCTTTCAACACGGTCCTTTGTATATTCTCTCTCATTCACTTCTTCATGATTTAATACCTGCCTACTTTCTTCTCCTTGATAAAGCCTACTCTGAAAAAAAAAAAAACTGCCTGCATCTTTTATACCACAGCATTGGTTGAAAGCAAACTGTTGCTTTTCTAAAGGACTTTAATTTTTCTTTCTTTAAGTCATAGTGTAGACCAAAGGGTTCTATTTCTCATTCCAAGATATTCCAAATGTTACTAACACAGAGAACTTATGATGATGAGGAGGAGGAGGAAAAGAAGAAAAGAGAGAAAAAGACAGAGAAGAAAATGAAGAGGAGAGGTGGGCAGTAGTGAAGAGAAGAAAGATTTTTGGGCTTGTTTAAAATATCTATAAGTATATAGACATTGTCATATTTTGATTTTTGCCTAAGTAAGCATTGAGTTGGTGGGGTTTTGTTGTTGTTGTTGTTGTTGTTGTCGTTGTTTTTAATTCCTTAGAACTTCTGTTGATGAAAGCTTTCCTCTGTATTCTGATGTCCTACTGAAATTGAGCTGCTTGTTTTGCATCAATGTAGTGTTCTTCCTAGAACATTGTGGTCCAAAGGAACTGTAGCCTGCCCCATATATGCACCATTGCAATTTCTACTAACCATATTAAGAATAATTTGCTTAATTAATTTAATAATTTATTTAAAACATAATTGCAACACCAATAATCAATAAATGTCATTAATTAAATTAATCACATTTAAAGCTTTTAATGGGCTAGTTTATGTTCTTTGAAAAATAATGTTTTCAAAATCAGGGAGCCAGAGAAATAGTGAAGGGGCTAGGGTGTTTGCGTTGTATATGACTGACTTGAGTTTGATCCCCTGCACCCTAGATGGTCCCCCAAGCCTACCGGAAGTGTTCCCTGAGTTTAGAACCAGTAGTAAGCCCTGAACACTGCCAGATGTGATCCAAAAAACCCCAAAACAGAATAAAACAAAGCCAGAAAACAAAACAAGGTCTGCGTTTTCATTTGTAACACAACTTGATGTACTTGAGATGGCTAATGCTATATTTCAAATACTGAAGAGTACATCTGGATCCTATATTGACCTGCACACGTCTAAAGACCAGAGCCAGGGAATTTCAGCCTAAATCCATTACTCAAAAGCCTGAAGTTCTGCACTTAATGGAAGAATGACTACTGAATATCTGCCTGTCCCACTCTCGTTTCCATTACATTAAAACATTAACTTTAAAGAGTTAAGTTTTGGAATCTGACTAGATTCCAAAAATGACATCCCAGCTCAAGCCATGCTATTTAGTAGTCTTGCTTACTTAAACATAACTTTTTGAAACCAAAAATTTTTATTAAGAAAAATAAAGAATACAAAGCAATTCTCAAACACAACACAGAAATAGTCAGAGGGACCAGAGAGATAATATAGTGGGTAGGGAGCTTTCATAACACACTTGTGGCCTGGGTTTGATTTTTTTTTTTTTTTGGCGTGGGGGGGTCACACCCGGAGATGCACAGGGGTTACTCCTGGCTCTGCACTCAGGAATTACTCCTGGTGGCACTCAGGGGATCATATGGAATGCTGGGAATAGAATCCAGGTCAGCCGCATGCAAGGCAATCATCCTACCCGCTGCGATATTGCTCCAGCCCCAGCAGGCCTGGGTTTGATCCTCGGTATTGCATATGGTCCCCTGACCTCTGCCAAGAGTAAGCATTAAGGCGGGCTTCTCCGCTGCCGCCCCCCCCCCCACCAAAAAAAAAGACTCTGAGACTAGGTTTTTGCATAATCTGAATACAGAGAAGTCTTGGTATTTATCTGAAAGTCTTGAGGGAGAATTGATTCTAGAATAGCAGATATATTTATACTCAGGCATAGTTCATTTATAACATACACTACATGTTCTAGGTCCTTGTCCCCAAGACTGGATCTGGCATGAAAAAAGCTGTTACTTGTTTTCCTCTGGTTCATTTAATTGGGAAACAAGTCAAGAGAACTGCTTGTCTTTGGGCGCCCAGCTGCTGAAAATTAATAGTACAGAAGATTTGGTGAGTTTTTCTGGGTTGTATTGGGATGTGGGGGGAAATACATCTGTTTTATTTAGGGTTTCAGTGTAGGGGCACTTCCTAGTACAGAGTCAGAGGAGCTGTTTCCCAGCTTCCTCTGAAGACCAGTTTCATGGATAGATCATGTGATACCTCTCGGCATCCATAAACATTCCTAGAAAACCCTGGGGAGGGACATCAGCGATGTCTTTTGCCTCCTTAGTTTTTGAATCTAAATGAACCTATTGGCTTTCTCATCAACTCAACCCCTTCCTCTCCACAGGAATTCATCTACCAAGCAATTGCCCACTCTAGTTTTCCATTCTGGATGGGGTTGTCTCTGAGGACACCCAGCTCCTCCTGGCTCTGGGAGGATGGTTCTCCATTGTTGCCTCACCTGTAAGTCACCTACTCTTCACTGAACCTGCCTGTGTAGTTAATTGTCAAGTTCCACACAAAGTCCTCTTGCCAGAGGGAAGCTTGAGGTGGTGGTGGTGGTGGTGGGGGGGAGACAATGTTTGAAAACTTGCTCCTCTGGGTCATATTTGGAAACTTGCTACTTTCTCATTCAACGCTCTCTACACCTTTCTTCCCACATTTATTATTTTTACTGTTCATATTGCTTATTTTGGATTTGGGGCCACACTTGGCACTACACAGAGCTTACTCCTGGATCTGTGCTCCAGAATCACTTCTGGAGGGGGTCAGAGGACTGTATGAGGTGCTGGAGGTAGAATCTGTGTCAGCCTCACACAAGAAACGTGTCCATCCTGCTGTACTACCTCTCTGGCCCCAAACACTGCATATTTTATTGACTAAAAATGTTAGGACAGGGTAACTTAATAAAACCAGTGGCTGTCAATCCATTTTTTCTCCTCCCTCCTTGTCTGCAGGTTTAGACTCCGGGGAGCTGTTAACCAGAAGTATCCTTCAGGCACCTGCGCATATGTACAGAGAAGGGCTGCTTTTGCTGACAACTGCATTTTAAGTGCATTTAGCATCTGCCAGAAGAGGGCAATTCTACTGCAAACACAGTGAGGCTGAAAGCTCTGGAAGGCAAGGAGAAGAAAGTGTTGACTGAGTTCTCTTTGGGAGCATGTAGCTCTCCATCACTTCAGGGAAAACCTTGAGGATTCAAGAACTGCCTGTTAGTAGACGGCCACAGATTCCCAGTGAAGATGGGGCTTCCAGAAGCCTGACACTGTCATAAGAAGCATCTTGATTCTGTGTTTATGTATGCTTTTTTCGCCTTTCCAGTTGTGAGTTTCCCTGCTGCACTTTGATTCCTCTTTCCTTTGAATTGCAATGGCTTCCTTCTCTTTGCCCTGCCAGCAACCCTCTGCACACAGTGCTCTCTGTGCCACCTTCCCCCAACCTATCTCAAACCACACAATCAACAAGGAGAACTTCCCCAACTGCAGACAGAAAGCTCAAAAGAGGAAGTGAGGATGTGGCACAATGCACATGCAAAATAAAAAAGAGTAGATCTAGAAAGTCCTGCTCTCAATATTAAAAGCTACCTCTTGTTGTCTATTGAATTGTGGTCCTTCTCCAAACTTCATAATATTTTCATTCCCCCTATCTCTTATACTCTCTCTCTCTCTCTCTCTCTCTCTTTCTCTCTCTCCCCCCACTCTCTCTCTCCCTGGTATCAGGGGAGGCACTTGGAATGTAATTAAAAATTTGATGGTCTTTCCTTTGTGCTACAATTAATTAACATTTTCTTAAGCAGATATTGTTCCTCCATTGGTTTTCTACTATAGGACAATTTATTTTTTGCTTGTTTTGGGGCCACACCTGGTGATGTTCTGGGGTTATTCCTGGCTCTGCACTCAGGACTTACCCCTGGTGGTGTTCTGGGGATCATACAGGATGCTGGCGATCAATCCCAGTAGGTCATGTGCAAGGCACGTGCCCTGCCTGCAACATGTCTCTCTGGCCCCAAAGAACAGTTTCAATCTTCAAAACAGTAGTTATTAGACTCATGGGGTTTAAGAGGAAAATTATTAAAAGTTTGTCCCTGACCATCCATTTCCTTTTGGATGACCTCTTCTCAACTGTTACGCTGTGAATTGAGGCAAAAATACTATAGACCAACAATGAAGACACTTAATTCCAGAATAAACAGAGCCAGGTTAGGGAATGCTGCTGTGTTTAGAAACAAGTGGAATATTGCATCTATTTTTAGTTCTTCTACTCCCATTCTATTTCCCTTCAAAGGCTATTCTGTTCAAAAGGTAGCTTTTCTATTTTGTTATGTATAATTCAGCACCATTCTATCAAAAGGAAATAGAAAAAGACTCATGACTAGGACAAGAGATATTTTCTTTTATAGACAGTTTTGCCGAGACTATTTACATACAACAAATTAAAACTATTTGAAGTACACAGCTGATGTTTTCATATATGTAAACACGTCCCCTTGAAATTGTAATAATTCAGATAACAATACACTGCTGCGCCCAAAAGTTTCATCATGTCCCTCCCCTTTGCTTCCCGTCTAATTAACAGAGTTTTCTTCCAGTTCTCAATTGTGGCATTCACACAGCACCCTTTTGTGAGTTTCTTTTTCTTAGCATTGGTATTTGGGCACCCATCCATCTTGTTGCTCGTATCACTTTTTCATTCTTCTAAAAGGTTGCAGATTATGTTGTTGTTAGGTTATGCCACCATTTGCTTATCCATTTATTGTTGATGACTTTGGGTTGTCCTCAGTTTTTGGCTATTGAAACAGTTTGAAGATTTATTATCATTCTTTGTATGAACAGAGATCTCTCTCCCTTTGTATAAACACAGCTTTATCTCTGATGTATTCGGTGGGTGTGTGTCTACCTATTTAAGAAACTGTCAATCTGTTTTCCAAAGACATATACCATATTTTTCTTCTAACAGCGTGTACAAATGTTCCAATTTCATCTCCTTGTTATCTTTACTTTGTATGGTCAACATTGTAAATTGAGTCATTTTATTGTGTTAGTGGTATATCATTGTAGTATATCATTGTAATTTGAATTTCCTAAATAAAAAAAAAACCTTGAGTATCTATTGATTTGTTTCTTTACATTTAATGCTTATTTTCTACTTGCATGTTTTCTTTGATAAGGTAACTACACAATCTTGTGAAGTTTAGAGTATTTGTTTCCTCATTGCTGAGTTTCAAGTTCTTTTAATATACTGCATGAAATTCTTTGTGAGATATCATTTTAATAATTTTCAAGCCAATGACTCTTTACTTCTGAGCTATATATTCAGAAAAGCAGAATTTAAAAAAATTTATTTTATTTTTATAAAGTAGTTCACAATATTTGATTACATTTAATATTCAAACATCAATCCCACCACAATTACACCTTCCCATCACCAAAATTTGGATGGTTCCATCCTGAACTCCAACCCCTGCCCCAAAATAGAACCAAATTATTTATTTTGTATTGTTTGTTAATGAAACCACTGAAAATGTTTCCTTAGAGGAAAATGTAAAGATTGTTGTATTTCACCTAGAGCCCACTTAGGCTCTTCTATAAGATATCACTTAACATGCTGTTAAAGGTTGAGCCTTGTTTGGAAAAAGCAGAAATTTTAAGCATTTGTGGAGTCAATTTTCATGTTTCACTGTTCTAAGGACATGTTATCTAATTCTCGGTCCCTCACAATTTCTTTTGCTTCTAGATATTTGTGGTTTCAAATTTTTTTGGGAAATAAGTCACCAATTTTAGGTTAATTTGTGGGGTATATATAGAATCTATATTAACTATGTGTTTTTAATATTTTAACAATATTTTAAAAATATTCATTATCTTTTACATTTGTTTGCTCTTTGTCAACTCTCAGTTATCCATAAATGCATGAGTCTATTTCTGGAGTTCATTCCATTCTAGTCCACTGATGAGCTTGTATATCTATTTTTATAATATATCAATTCTATTTCGTGTACTCTATTTTATTATATATCTTGAAGTACTGAAATTATAATATAAAATGTATTCAACATCATCCATTTAAAGAATTGTTTTAACTAATCTATTTGTATTTACACACAAATTTATTGAAAATAGCATCTGAAATTTCTCAAAAATAGCCTTTGAAACTTTGAGTGTTATTACATTGGATCTGTAGTTAGATTTGGAAGAAATGGAATTTAAAAAATTTTTTGTGTTCAACTTGTGAAGAAGGTACTTATCTCCATTTACTTTATCTCCATGTTCCTTAATTTCCCTAAGCAATATTTTGTAATGTCTCTGCACAGATATTTTGCATCTTATATTTTATTTGTAATAGTTAATATAACAGTTACTTGTGATGATGTTATTGTGTGTAACTTTAATTACATTTTAATTTTGACAGTACTATTATATAGAATTAAATGGGACTTCTTCATATTAACCTTGTTTCAGAAATGAATAAATTTACTTATTTCTTTTGTGGGTTTCATTGGCTTTTACACTTAAATAACTCTGTTATCTGTTACTAAAATCCCTTTTATTTCTAATTTGTCGGATTTTTTTTTGCCCTTCTACCGGATTTTACAGACTAGAACATGTCTTGCAATATTGAGTAAAAATGGCGAAAGTATGCATCCTTCTTTATTGTCAGAAGATTCCATTTAGAGTTTTATATAAAATGCTGTATCATTTTGTATAGTGGATTTTTTTGTAGCTAGCTTTTCTCAATGTAATAATGTTACCTTTTGTCCCCTAAATGATGAGAGGTTTAATCAGAAATGAATACTAATTTGTCTAAAACTTTCACTACAATTATTGAGATAATCATATAGAACTTTTCTTTTTCCTTTTTTTTATATTTTTAGCGTAACTATTATATTAATTAATTATCAAAAGTTAAGACAGCATCTTGGAGTGGGGTGTACTATATAAACAGGTAATTAAAAATCTAGCAGTCCTTTTTGGGGACTTTTGCAGTTAGCCTTTTATATACTTTAATTTTTATATTTCTGAAGACTATTGATATGTAACTTTATTTCTGTACATCGCTGTATCTGCTGTAGGTTTCAGAGAAGTTGCTCCATTTTCTGGAAGAGTTTGTGTAGAATTTGTACTATTCATTAAATATTTGATTAATTTTCTACCAAAGTCATCTGGGCATGTATTTTCTTGGTTGTATGATTTGAAACTCATGCTCTCTCTAGAACACATCTCTCTCTCTTTTCTCTCCCTCATATTTCTCTAAGTTAATTTCTTTTAGTAAAACTTTTTGCTTCCCTAAATAAATAAATAAAAATGGAATCGTTAAATTTTGAGTTGAGGAGTTTCCTTTTTGTTTTCAGATGTTTAATAGGGACTACTCTCAGCAGGACTGGGGTAAGTCCAGAAGCCGCTCCCCAGTAAGACTTGGCTGCCAGTGTCTGGCTGACGACCAGTGCTTTGGTCAGTGCCGCTGATGCTGATGGGCAGTGCTAGGAGTCACCAAGTTACACCCTTTGGTACTGGGGCATGTGCAGAGTTGACGGGGGATAAGGATTGGAAGTATAATATGGTGGGAGTGAGGGATTTGGGGAAGAGCTCTGGGCCACAGGTATGCCAGGAATGTGCTCTACCCCGCTGGACCATGTCTCCAGCCTTTTATTTTTTCATGTAGCCATATAATACCATAAATCTTCCCTTAACACCGCTTAAGTGGTTGGTAACCCAATCTGATCTGTTCTTTTTACAAACTCATTCACTTCACTTTCTAATTTCCCTTGAAATGTGGTCTTTGATCTTTGGGTTATTTAGAAGAATTACTAGTATCCGAATATTTGGGGATATTCCAGAGAACATCATATGATTGATTTCCAACTTAATCCTCTGGTGGGGGAACAAAACAAAGCTTATCTTTTTATGAGTTGAATCATTTAAATACTGAGACATGCAGACGCGCACTTCAGCTGGATGTGTAAAGCGGACAGAAGGAGCGCCGTGGCCGAGAAAGGCTGAGGATGGGCCGCACTGGGGGTTGCACACCAGTGTGTGGTACTTGCACGCTCAAGAGTGCTGCTTGTTCAGGATTGCTCGCCTTTAACTGTGCAAACATCCTTGCTGGGGTTTGCACTGTTCCAGATGAGATACTCACACATCTGGCTGTGGTGTTGATGACACAGCAGGAGCAGAAGTGTGGAGCACCAGGTGGCTTTAAATCTCTGCCCATGGAACAGGTAGCCAATCAGTGGGAGATGGCAGCAAACCCCTGCCTTGCCCTGCCCCGCCCCTCCCCTCCCCTCCCCTTCCCCCCTCTCCTCACCTCTCCTCTCCTCCCCTCCCTTCTCCTCTTTTCCTCTCCTTCCATCCCCTCCTGTGTCCTCTCCTTCCCTCCCTCATCACCTCCCCTTCCCTCCCCTCCCCTCCCCTCCAGGCAGGGCCCATACACCCAGGAAGGCTCAGGTATAGTAAGGGCTTGGAAGTCCAGGAACTCACGTTCAGGCAGGGCTTGGACACCCAGGTAGTGACAAGGGGCACAGCACAGATGTTTCACCCACTCGCACGTGGTCATGGTGTAGACTAGGAAAGACGGGGCAGGATAACAGGAACTTCTGGGATACAGTTGGGAAGCCCAGCGACAAGTATAGGGCATGGGGATCTTGTCTACGTGCTTGTGGCCGTGGCCAAAGTGCACAGAGACTGGGGAAAGTGCACACAGGAAGAGAGAGTGACGTAGGGTCGGGACATAGCCACAGATGACAAGAAAGGAGTAGTCTGCGTAGGACCAGACAGGGAAGTCATTCACGAGACCAGGCAGCATCAGGGACGGGACCAGGGAGGTCGTGCCTGGGTCAAGAAGAGGTCTGGACAGCTGGGGAGGGACCCAGACTTTTTTTACTTTTTGGGTGACACCTGGTGATATACAGGGGTTACTCCTGGTTCTGGGGTTACTCAGGAATACTCCTGGCAGTGTTCGGGGGACCATATGGGATGCCGAGGATCGAACCCAGTCAGCCATATACAAGGCAAATGCTCTACCTGCTGTACTACCACTCTGGTCCCCGGACTCATCATCTTGATCTCTATAATAAACTCTAAACTTGAATCTACATTTTTTTTTAAATGTAAATCTTTCATACCATTCTTAGGAACTCAGCAGCACAGGAAAATCCACCTTCACGCTCACTTTGCCAGTTGCTTTTGGGGTCAAAGGATCACAAACAGAAGAGTTGTTGGAGTCAGAGCGTTTAGCTGCCAGGACTGTACAGAGTGGGTGTGATACATCCAGGAATGAACACTTAACTTGGAGCTTGCAAGGCAGAAACTCTCAAACCCTGGGCTGTACACATGCTGTCTGCTGTTGGTCCATTCACTCTCGGGCTCTGATCTGCCCTCTGTTGATTACTCACAGGGATTCTGTGGAAGTCTGGGCCTCTCTCTGTGTGAGCCTCCCCCGCCTGCCTCCAATGCTTTCCCATACACTCTCAATTGTGTTTCGTTAATTTCCCCTTCTCTGTGTGACTAGCACCTTCCATGAAGAAGGGAAACTTCTCTACTCAGAGCTCACTTCTCTGTTTCTCAAGGGTCTGGCCCTCGGCTGCTATGTAGGTGGCAAAGTTATGAAAGCGGCTGTTCTCTCTGTTATCTTTAGTTTAGCTTGTGTCAGGTTGGAAAGTAAATCCAGTTCTTGCCGCTCCATCCTGCCTTTAGGCAACAGTTCAAAAGGATTTGTTACTTAGTTTCTTTTTCTGTTGGAGCTACTGAAGTCTCTGGACAAAAGACAAATTGAGCTAAAAGGACCTATAGGAGGGAAAATCTGATTGAAGACAGGAGAGTGAATTCAGTGCTTTTGTGCCTGATACAGTTTCTATTTCAAAGTTGATTATACAACTATAATTTTAAAGATAATATAACAGGGGTTACTATGAGTCATTGACCATAATCCTTACTATTTCTGTCTTCAATTATTTAAGACATTGCTGCATTATATTGCTACATTGAAATTCAGAGATGATTGTCCCAATCTGATCTATCCTATGGCTCTCTCTCTCTCTCTCTCTCTCTCTCTCTCTCTCTCTCTCTCTCTCTCTCTTCCTCTTTCTAAC